ACTTCGAAATCACTTTGGATGGGTGCTGAACACCTTGTAATAGGCAGAGGTAGACTCTCCGAAGTGGTTCGAATAGGGGCGTAACATTTGGTAGAGGATATAAATTTTTTCGAGCAATAGAATTACAAGGGATAAAACAGAGGACTAAAGGTGCACATGTACTAATTGTAAACGTGTTCACAAGAATTGGTAGTTGTGTTTATTCGATAACTTATTTCTTATAGTGTTTATTCTAGAGATAGACATGAATGCAATATCTGATCCCAATAGTATTTTTATTGCAGAACCATTCGATCTGATTCACTCCCGTTTTAGTGTCATTTCGAGTACATGAGATGTCTCTGCTGCTTTGAAGATAACTAAAGCTGATTTCTCTCTCAAATTTTATTGAATTCTTTTTAGGAGTTTTATGTACGAAGATTTTACAATCAATTGGGTGAGACAAGAAAAGGAGAAGCATCCATCATTTTGTTGTCACCATTTGCATTTCATTTCCCAATTTCACTCAAGTGCATAGAACTGTGTTTGCTTATCATCTGTAAAATGGTGGAACCCTTCGAAATTGTACATGGAAATGTGGGTAAACATTGACACATCTTTTCCTTTTCTTTTTAATGGCAACGAAGACTTTTGAAGTCTGGTGCCAAAAGATGAAAGCAATACCCTTACAATAAAAATGTGCAAAAGATGTTGATGGAAAGCTAACAAGAGAAAAGTTTGATTGGAGTTTTGTTTTTTTGCATTTATCTGATAATGTGCTGAGGAGGTTGTGGAAACAAAGACTACAGTTGAGTTATTGAAAAAAAATAGATGTGTGGCAAAGATTTTAAGTTTATAAGCGGGCCAAACATCATTCTTAACCACACATTCATTAAGACTCACAACTTTTATATACTTTAACCACACATTCCTTGGGACGCATTGCTTAATTATGAGCACTTAAAAACTAAGCCAAGCAATCACTTAGACTATTCCATATAAAGTTTACCTTCACTAACAAGTTTTGGGCTTTCAATTAGACCCTAGCCTTGATCTTGAAGTGAACGTAGCTAGATTTAAAATACTAACAAGAGAAAGTAGCAGTAGTTTGTCATATAGTTTTTACATTTTTTATGCAAGAATGTTGTTTCATTCTAATGTCCGATGAATTTGGTTCATCTGACATGTATAAGCATCATAATGTAGGCAGCATATGAGCTTTCAAGATTGGTAGTGCAAGAAACAAGCTGAACATGGAGGATGTGTATGTTTGACTCTCTTAATAAATGGCAATCTTACTCAATGCTGAGAAGAGTACCTTGATTTTTATTTATTTATTTATTTTTCAATTCTCCATTTAGGACATTATACAAATCTTTCATAAATAATGAACTTCATATGCATCTCTCGCCTCTTTGTTTCTGATCTCAGAAGACAGCGTGAAAAGTTTGAAAACTTGAAATATAGAGAGATGAGTCAATAAAAATGAAAGATTCATTTGGTTTGCATTAGGTCTTGAATAGTATGCTTGACATTATACTCAGGTTTGCTACTGAAGTGCTACAAATGTGTTCCACTGTAGGCTATGCTACTGTAAAATTGTGGAAAAATGCCATTCTAATTTGTGAAATTTCATATGTAGTAAATTCGTATTCATGCTTACGCTTGTAGTCACTCAAAATATTTGTATGCACTATTAAGATTACTTTTCTTTTTGGAGGATTAACCTTGAAGGACATTGATAAGAGTATGACAAGATGCCTGTGGTTTCAAAGTTGAGGGAATAAATTGTAAATATTCAAAAGTTGATTCTGACTAAAAAATAATGATTGAACAATACTGGGAGTCAATTGGATGAATTTAAAAAACAAAAGATGAGATTCCTCGAAGAAAGGATTCAAGTTGAATGAAAAAAGAAAGTTGGGGATCAAAATGAATATTCCAGTAGATATTACTACCATGCAATCAAATGGGGTAAACCTCCCGCGACCACAACACTTATTTGTTGGGAACCTGAAAGCAAAAAGGTTCAACAATGCAACCGCAAGCACTGATCGCATGGGCCATTTTTTCGATTGAGGTGACCGTTTCCTTATTCAATTAAAGCTTTCTATGGAAATGACTTTTGATGCTATTCTTGATCTAATTCTGGCATCTGTAAGCACAAAATGTTGCATACATTGAAGAGACCTCTCTCATATCAATTCATATCATAAAATCTTACTACAGATAAGGTATCGATTCACCACAAATTGGAGAAAAGAACAAATCTAACAAGCGGATTGAATAAAAAAAATTGAGAACTTGAAAAAGTAAAGTTTCGAATTGAATATTAAAAAATAAAAAAAAATTAAGAACTTGAAAATTTATTCTTGTATTCATATACATTTCGAATGATGATTTTTCAATCTTTGTGTTGTTTTATTATTAGAAACATACTAGACTGTATTTTATTTGTGTTAGAAGAAAATGAAATCTTCTATTGATTATTTTTAATTCATAAATCAAGTAATTTAGTTAATTTATGTGCTCGGTTGATTTTGTATACTTTGTTGAATTATTTAGTTGTTTGATCGTCAATTATGTACTTAGTTGTTTGTTATGTTCTTGAGAGGTTTAAAATGGATCGTCAGTTATGTACTTAGTTGTTTGTTATGTTCCCGAGAGGTTTAAAATGGGTTTAGAATTTTGTAAGATTAACATGCAAATAATGGATATTGAAAATTGTTGGAATGCAGAAGCGGAATTATTCAGAAATTAAAAATTTCTTTAATTCAATAAGCAAGATCATCTAGATGTTCACGTGTATGTTATATCAAAATTAAAGTATTCGAATTTTTACATAAGTTTGATGATCAACCCTTGAATTGATTTTGAATCACGAACTTTCAGCCCCTTTTAATTACAAGAACTTGGTATTTCGAATTTTCAAGCATTCTATGATATTCTCCAAATGTAAATACTACACCGACGTGTGGCTCCTTTTTTTAATTAATTAGAAAAAACTAATTATTGTATTAGACAATTGCAAAGCAAGAAAATAAATTTCTAAAACCCCCCCCCCCCTCTCATAAAGAACAAATTGCAACAATAGGCCCAAACTTTTTAAAAGTGCAAATCAGTCCAAAAATCTTATTAAACCATTAAAAAAAAAAAAAAAAAAAACTATCCCCCCCCCCCCCCCCCCCCCCCTCCATCTCTCTCTAAATTTGAATTCTATGGAATTATATATTGTGAGTGTTGTAGTATTTTTGTATCCATAAAAAGATTATACAATTTTAGTACAATAATAATTTTACATTCAAATAAGAGTTCTAATTAAAACTCAAGTATGAGTTTTAATTTAAGTCCAAATATAATTTGTTTATATTTAATTACATGTGTAGTCCTAGAACTTCAATTACAATTATAATTAAATTTACAACTTCCAAAGTAATTACAACTAAGTACAAAACCTTATTGTAATTATAATTAAACCAAAAACTATTATAATTAGCGTAATTAAGTTTCAATACTTTCTAGAGCTACCATAGGGACCTGATCGGACATATATTATCCAAATTCCAATAATTAGATCATATCTAGACGATTCTAGACTACTCAATCTAATTATTAGTCTTTGCTTTTTTCATTAAAGGCAAAAGACTGAACTCTTGGATTATATGAGATCACAGAAGCTAATAAATTTGTAATTCTTTCCTCTAACCTGCCGTATATGTATTTTATCCTCCATCAGAAATTCGATAATTAGGTACAAGCATAAATGATCGTTTTGTCCCTCTAATTATTCTTACTAACTTAAGTACAATTTTTTCCAACGATCCTAAAAACTAATCACAGATTTTGAAATTTAGCCGTCGTTAAACATTGAGCACAAATTTTAACCTTTGAACAAAAAATACTTAAAAAACCACTCTACCCATTTTTTAGGGTGACGATTTCCGACACAAATTCATGTTCTCTACTCCGTTCATTCTCGAGTTTCCAATTCAACGAGATACTTGACCAATCAAATTGATCTCACCCATTGATGAATCAAAAAACAATTAAAATTACGAAAATATATACATAATCATGTCAAGAAATTTAGATGAAATACACAACACTCAAGTGAAATTTAATTCTCCGCTCGGTTATACTATAGAATAAAATTCGACACGCGATGCATTTATTACACTCCAAGTGTACTAGTGTCACTTTTAATTATTTTTGTGATAACGACAAATCACAAACTCGAATAGTAAATTGGTCAACACCACAACTTTTCAATATAAGATGCCAACCCTCGTACATAGATTGTAAACAAATTATTTATGGTCAAAATATAAATTTTGTCACACTGTACTTTTCAACGCAATTATCCAATTCATATTATTACAAGTGATCACTTGCATTTTAATTTTGCATGCTCAATAATAAATAAATGCAATAAATAAAATCAATACAATTTTATTCAATATAAAAATATTGTTTTTTTTATATCAGCAAAACTATAATATATGAGCACACAACCCAACAGAAACTACATATATGATGTACACAATCACATAGGTAATCGTGTAATTAATACATTACTTTGCATATGAATTCCGAATATGAATATGATCGAATCGTTTCTAGAATAAGTTTAACATAACTCGAAATAAATAGTTAGATAAAATATAATTATCGATTATCATGAATATATAAATTAATTAAGTTACACAGGTCAAAAATTGAAAATAAAATAATAGCAGGTGAATTCATATGTCCAATACATTCATCCTGTAAATTCATACAAATAAACACTTTAAGATAATTAGTAGATTAATACGTACATTCGAATTTGATATCGAATTGATACAATTTAATCTAAATCTTATTTCTCGTGAGATGATACTCTTTCTCACTAAACTATTTGCCAACAATTTCAAACGTTTGCAAAATTTCACCAAACATTTGTCCCATTGTGTTATAAAAAGAATCAACATATCATTTAAATTGTATTTGATCTATTAATGACATATGTATAAATTGGTTGATTGAAAGAAAAAAACCAACTTTTGGGTAATCATAATAAACTAAATAAACCATCCAATGCAAAATGCCTGCCTGCCTACAAAGAAAGTAACAGGAAACAGCTCAGTAAGATAGATCCTTTTAAAGTTTCATAATGTACACTGCAACACATTGATACAAAAGATAAAACGCTAATATGCTTTCATACCACTCTCTCTCTCTCTCATCATAAACTCCAAATATAAACCTGACCTCCACTTGTAGCCCCTGCAAGCATTCCAACCTTGCATGGATGTGCATCAAACCGGCATGGAATAGCTGATATGAGCTCACTTCGTAAAGTAGACACAATTTTCTTTCCAGCCACAGATATAATATCAACTCCTCTTTTCATATTACCGATGAAGACATATGAATCGTCCCAACCCCATTTACCTCTGTTTCCTCAAGCACAGACCACAAGTTTTGTTAATGGTTAATCCTCAATATCAAAGAATACAGCATGCCGCATAAATATTTTTTTTTTTTAGTCATTTGGCAGCGACATAGAACAACTACACATGCATGCACCTACTCAAATGAAGAAACAACAATTATGGAAGCATAAGAAGAATATGCAGTCTCCAACCAATGCTGGATCACATCCAGAATTTCATTATGCATTGGCGGGAAGTAGGAGAAAAAGTTAAAAAAAGGTTGTTGATGAAGATTTCGACATAATAAACAACAGAGAGAACGTTCCACTCAAGTATGGCTCCTTCAAGTTAGCAGTATAATTTAGCATGGATTTTATCATGTGCCAACCATAAAAGCTAGCACTTCGTGGGAAAAGCTAAAACTAATAATCTGAAATATATAATGTAAGTAATGGTTTCACATTTACTGCACCAACAGTTCTGAATATAACATTCTTTCCCACAAAAAGATCAGCACAATGTCAGTGTCACTATAATCAAAATATAAGCAACAGGATTGGGCACCATATTAGCAGAGGGAGAGCTGAAAACATAAGATGCAACTTGCCCTAGATCATATAAATCATTTATAAGGCGCTTATGTGATAAGTAGTTGATATCCTTCAAATGGCAACAAAAAATAAGATATAAAAATCTCAAAATGTATCTGATGTATGTGATTATTTCACATTATCCACATCAGTATTATTCTCCTATATGAAAATAATTGCTGCATAAATCTTGCATAAACATCAACCAAATAGCAAGAAAACCAAAAACCAAACAGTTCCCAACTTAGCTTTTGTTTCACAAAACGAATGTAGTGTTGCAAGGATATACTAAGAACGAATGTAGAACCTTTACTTGCGAAAGGAACTACACAAACAGCAGCGCATCAAGAATTGTGCTTATGTAAAAGCTAAGTAGATACATAACTCTTTGTCTAGGGGATAAATCATACCTGAAAGTGGAAATCCACCTGCCTGTCTGGTTATCATGGTATACCATAGATGTGTCCTCATAATTTTCCCCAGTTGATAAAGCAATTCTGTCGTCGACACTGCACAAAGAAAAATAACAAAAATTCGGATCCTTTAAACAGCTGGTCAAAGGAAAAGAAATAAATTGATAAAGCAAATTTCTCTGACATGAACAAAGATGCCTCAGACCAGATCAATGTTTTTAACTTGATGTAGAGCAATTGATGACATCTATTCTTATAGCTTACCCACTTGTAAAAACTGCAGGTTCCACTAGAAATGGTAAGAACCCCACTAGTTACCTTTTATGGATCTACAGAGCATAAGCGTATGATTTTTTGGTCTATATGAAGATAGTGTATTAAAAACCATTTCATTGCATCTTGTGCACAGATCAATATCGGGACATGTAGAACCTTTAAGATCAAAGTAACTAAAAATGATTTCAATAATTTGACCACTACAAGAAAATTAAATTTCATTACTTTTAGCATCTGAAAGATGAAGAAACAATCTTCAAGGAAGAAAATAAGCACTTTATCTGCAAAACTGAGATGCTAACTTTTTAAAACACAACCAAGGAAAAGAAAAGAGCAATGAAGTATTAAAATTCCAAACCTTGTTGTCGCCAGAAATCTTCCCGAAGGTGAAAAATAAGCAGAATGCACAGCTCTTTTATGGCAAACAGTGCTCAAGGACTTCGGCTTATCTGCATTCATGTGTCTCAAATCCCAGATGCAAGCAGTTCCATCTGTGGAACTTGTAGCCAAGATATTACTGTTTTCTGAATTGAAGTCTATTGTATTGATCCTATTATCGTGCAAATTCCACGATGACAAAGATTTTCCTGCTTTCAAATCCCACATATTGATTCCTCCATACCCCTCACTAAAATATAAGGATTTTGTATCATGCGGACTTTGAGATATAGAGTATACTGAATGCTCACTGGAGTATATCAAATCAAACACCTCTTTCTCCACATCCATCAACCTGATAAACCCATCGTAGCAAGAACTGAACATCTGCATACATTATATTCACATGCCCAACTCAGTGCACCTCCCAATATATGTAACATGTATTACATAAATATACCATGATACTCAATAACTGTATGGTTCCGAATTTTGTCACGAGTGCCTCAGATACTGATACATTATAAGTACAGTGTCAGAATCATTGTGAAAGATTAATCCAGAGACGCGATGTCCTAGGTGAAGCACCCGGCATCCAGGACTATCCACACTAAATATTTGGTTCTTAACAACAAAAATGTTTTTTCTTTTTTAAGTACAAGGAAAGAACATTTTTGACCTAAATTTTATTCCTTTAAATTCTTAAGACAGAAACTTCAAAATAACACCATTTTGTGAAGACCTATCTCAATAATATCATTTCGATTTAAGCATATGTTCCCACAAAGAACTCCAAGCTTGAATCTGTGCGTATTGAGTTCAGAAAAATAATTGGAATTCTACATGACACTGATTGCACGAGTTAATTGTTCCAATGGTTATTGAACTTAGGTCCATGTCTTTAATTGGTCATTGAAACTTAAAATGTCGAGTTTTGATCACTGAATTTAGGTCCATATCTTCGATTGTTCACCGAAATTTAAAATATCAAATTTTGACCATTGAATTTTGAAAAATATTGTACATTACTCATTGAATTTTGAAAAATGTTATACATTACTTATTGTAAACTCGATATTTTTCAAAGTTCAACAGTTATACTAGCGAGTAACGTAAGGCATATATCAAAATTCAGTGGTCAAAACTCGATATTTTAAATTTCAGTAAGCAATCTAAAACATAGAATTAAGTTCAGTGAGCAATCAAAGACATTGAATTCAATGACCAAAACTCGACATTTTGAACTTCAGTAATCAATCAAAGACATGGACCTAAATTCAGTAACCATTGGAACAATTAACTCCTGATTGCATTGAAGTTTAACTTTCTTCTAATTCCTATACAAAACCATATTCCTTGCAAACAAACACAATAGAAACTTTAGTACCTTACAGAATAAGCAATATTGTCCTACATACGCTTCCACATTTCTAGCCAAATTAAAAACTAATGAAGTTAAACAGCATTATAATACTTTCAATACCATATACTTCGAGATAATAATCCATAAGCTAGAAAAAAATGCATCCTTACCTTAGACATGGCAAATGGATCGATGACAATCCCAGAAATTGGTCCTGAATGGGGGCAATACATATAAATCCCATTACCATCATCATTTTCTATGTCTACATTCCAGAACCCGATATTTCCAAATTTGTTCCCCACAGCAACCATTGTTACATCAGCAGTAGGAAAAAACCGCACATCCATAATTCTCCCTGGAACCACCCGAGCTATATTCTTGGGCTCCAACTTCAGTGCCTCCACTTTCACTGAACCACTCGCCATTTTTCTCACTTTTGGTGCCTCAAAATCCTCGTTTTTCTCCACACCCTTAACTAAATCACAAGGAAACTTGTTATTCTCACTCAACTGAAATTTCTTAGAAAATCCTGAAATAGTTTGGATAAGCTTCTGATCCAAGGCATCATCACTAGTGTATGCATCTCTCATCGCAAGGGGCCCTGGTGCTCGAGGGGATACTTTCTTTACAGGAGAGAAATTCAATTTCAAGATTTTACTAACTCGAGTTTCATCGTAATCATCTTTGAGCCCACAGGCAGAGATTGCATCTGGTGGCACCCCACGGGTCCTGAGAGACCGACGTAGGACCACCGGAGTTTCAGGCTTCAAATTCTTTGTTGGACTCTTTTTGTATGATTTACTTTCGGTTCTGCCATAACATTTCACATATTTCAATTGTAAATAACAAATAGACAAATGAACCAGCAACCTTTCGAGTAATATCTATTGTTTATGTGCATACACATTTTACAGACACAAATACCAAAATTCTATGTGATTACACGCTTGTTCGAAACAGGCATAAAGAATAAGACATGTTTACATATATAATTCTAACAAAATGAAATCTGTTATCCATAGTTTTTCATGCAACCCCAATTAAAATGGCCATATGCAACATATAAACGGAAATAAATTAACACAAAACCACCCAAAAACCACACATCCGTATGAATATATACGCTTGTACTACAAACACGTAACGAAAGACCTTTGACGCTTATTGACGGTGGAGAGATCGTTGATTCTGGATTGAATCTTGAGGGCGGCAAGCATTTCATCATTCCGTTTAATGTTTTCCAATCTTTTGCGCTCGTATTCGGTGATTTCATGGTCCGCCATGATTTCTTCTTACTCTGGCAAAATTAGCCTTTGAAAGATAATTCTGAACTTTCTGGTGGACAGAATTTGGGACTCGATATACGCCAACTGGCGTCAAATTAGGGCGCGGGAACGAGAATTGGCGGGAAAGTAAAGTAATTGATTACGTGGCATGTTTCTAGGCGATTCTTATTTTGAAATGGGCCTGTCCGTTTCTTTGTAAATATTGGGCTACACGATCAAGTTATTGTCTACAGTCCCAGTTAATTGGATCCGAACCCAACCGAAATAAGGAAGTTAACTGTTCCAATGATCACTGAGTTTAGATCCATGTCTTTGATGGATCACTGAAATTTAAAATATCGAATTTCGATCACTTAATTTAGGTTAATATTTTCGATTGCTCACTAAATTTAGGTCCTTGTCTTAAATTGCTCACTGAAATTTAAAATTTCGAGTTTTGACCATTATATTTTAGAATATGTCGTACGTTACTCACTAGTATAACTGTTGAATTTTGAAAAATATCGAGTTTATCCATTTTAAATTTGGTCAAAATCAACTTCTTTGATCAACTAACGGTCAAATGGATTATTTTCATTCATTTGGACCTCTGCTGCACATTTCTGAATAGTTAGGACCTTCGTTGACATAAATTAAAGATTAGAGTAAAATCTGCAAAATTTGAAAAAGTTAGGGACAGTTGCAATTTTCCCTTTTATTTGCTACTGAAACCTCATCGCCAACAACCATTGCGTAGTCAACAACCCAATAAACAAATGAATCCCCTAGCAAACGTACACCATGTTGCCTGCTTCCACCAGCACCATCCCTCCCGAAAAACAAGCCACCACCAACCACCTGCAAGCCGCTGCTTCCACCACCATTTGATCATAAACTAGCTCACCTCGAAACAATAAACTAAAAAACCATTAATCATGGATTAACTCACCTCAAAATTGAATATGAACAAGATTTAAAAATAATAAATTGTAGAATCAATTAGAATTTTATAGCAATTTGTAATGTGTGACGAACTGAATCGATATTATATCTTGAAAATATTTTCTTTTCATAAAGACTTGGTCAGGTATTTCAATTTATTTTTTTTATTTATGTTTTATATGTTGGATGAAATTGTTGAACGACGAGGGTTGATTTTTGTGTGTGGATTTATGGAATAACTAAATTTCTCAATTTTCTCCGATTGTTATTTCTAGTGGGTTGTGATTGGTGTGAATTAATTTTAGTAAGAAAATACCGTGTTTCAATTCTGAGAAATATGTTGTACTTTTCGGGAGAGAAGGCCATATATGGTATAATATTTCCAAGTTAAGTTCACAATTAAGCGCATTAGTAATTGAAGTTGATGAAATTAAAGTCCACAATTAATTAGTATTTCTCAGTGAAGTTTTCAATAGTTCATATGGACCAATACGTGTCCGATCTTCATTTGACATAATAATTAGCACTAACATACCATTTATTGAATACAAAGAGTAGAAAGTTACAACTTGGCTTTCTAAGACAACAACAAAAGGAAATCGAAGGAAAACACATGCATACATGCATGAATTATTAAACACAACAATTCAAATGAAACACCGCACTAATAATTTTATGTTTATCTGCTTCTTAGCCTTTTCACAGAAGCATTTTCTCCTCCTTTTTCTTGAGCTTGTATCTTCAACAAATTAGGCTTCTTGTCTAATAAATTCATAAACCATATAGCAGAGATTTTCGATACGTAATCCTCTTCTCATCAAATCGAGCTTCAGAAACTGTTAGTGCTATATTGTTTACTTCATCGACCCCTAAACAAGTTAAGTCATCAAATAAATTTCAATAAAAAAAGGTAAATATTACAAAACAATTCTTATGTTACTATAGCCAAAAAAAAAAAAAAAAAGGCTAATAAATATGCTATGTATTTACCATTCTCAGTAATATAAATGATGGGATTGTTATATTTTGCCTTTATATAGACTAACAACTTGTAAATCCCAATTGGAACAACGTACAACCAATCTGAACCGGCCTGACATAAACAAAAAAAATGATAATATTCTATGAGCATCAGAAATAAAACTATAGTAATTTAATCCATTTTGACAATAATGACACAATAATCCACTTCCATAAATTGTTTAAATTGCTTTATCTCATATGAAAATAAGTTATAAGAAAAATCATTAAAATAATATAATTTATTTTCCTTTTCTTTCTAAGAAAAACCAAGTTAAAAAGTATACCTGTGGACCAATAGGTATCCCATCACGTTCACCTATGAATCGTTGAGGGAGTAAGCATTATGTGGCAAGCTTAATTTATAACTATACTTGAAAATGTTTGATATACTTACCTGATAATGTAACCTGTTGATCAGTTTCATAACTTGGTTGAGCACCAGGCGACGGAGGTGGTGCATTACTAGCATAATTAGCAGTGTAATAATTTATGCCTAGAAAGTCATAGGATCCTTTCACCAACTTAGCTTCTTTTGGTTTAAATTGGGGAAGACGTGTGCCCACATTTTGCCTCATGCTTGGTGGATAATCACCAGTTACTATCGGTGCTACAAACCTGAAAGAGAGGAAGGGTTTGAGGCCACAAAATTTTGATTAAGAAATTATTTTACATTACGACTTAAATTCTACACAATTAATAACATTTCGAAAAAAATGAGACATATCTTATATAATACATAAGTGCCAAAAATAAATTAGTGAAGAAGAAGCATGTATTTAAATCTAAAGTATAAATTTGGCTATAAATTTACTCTTAAGAAATCATAGCGATTAAAGATAAAAGTATAATCCTGTGAAAGTTGGTTTTTGAGAATGAAGAAAAAATTCAAAATCGTATGTAGAACATCGATAGGGATTGGTCAATTTGGGAGAAAACACCACAAATTTTATTCAATATTCAAAAATAACAAAAAGAAAACAATCACTTGAACTTAAATAGGGAAAATCTAGGAAATAAAAGCCTAACCCAAACAACAAAATAAGATAGGTAATAGGCAAAGGCCACGACGTGAACAAATTAAGTATAGCTACTTAATTACCATCCCAACATAAAATCTAAGGCCCTTGAAGCAGCCTCTATATCGTCTTTGGTGTCAGTAAGTGGCTCAAACCACTGTGTAACATTTGTCATTCCTATCTTGCCTCCTTGGTGTGCCTGCACAAATGCGGTTGTATAACATATATATTACAAAATCTCAGAAATGTGTATAAAGTTTTTTGCCCGACGTTAAATATGTGTGTGGAAAATATTACCTGATATCTTTGTCTGTATATATCAACTGTTGCTGCGTGACAAAGGATCAGATGATGTGCCACAATATATGGCTCTGTACCTGGATCTCCAGCTGTAGAAATAGATCGAGCTCCTCGTCTATATCTATGACGAGGAACAGATGTACTTACAGGCTCCGATGTAGTTGCACCTCGAGCAGGTGGAAAAGTGCCCAACACGTATCCTTGAACGGTATAGGACCATGGCTCATTCAATGTGACCCAATGTTTCACTCGATTACCAAATTCCCAAAAGCAAAGCTCAGCAAACTCACAAAAGTCTTTCCTGTTTATCGAAAAAGAACGTATATCTATATGGTTCACATTGTTATATATATAATGCGCAAGAACTTGACTAGACTTCCTTTGAAAGATTATACTACTTGTACATAAAAATTGTACATAAGTAATTACATAAAATGATGTGGATGGAAAGGATTGGAAGAAAAAGTTGACAAGTGTTTTAAACTGGTAAATAATGGAGTGACGTATGGTATTATGTAATCTATTATGTAAAGCTTGATGTACTTGTAGCAAAGTCGTCTTTTGAATTTGCTTTGATTTCATATAAATATGCTTTTGCAAATACCCAAAGAGAAAGTGTTTTGAAATGCAAGATTCAATTACTTACACGATTCGACGCTTTAAAAAGCCACCATATTGATCTTCCAAACATTGTGGAGTATCCCAGTGGAAGATAGTTGCACATGGCTCAATACCTACAGAAAAGTAAATAGAAGATTCCAAAATATAAGATTTTTATCTTTTCAAAAAAAAAAAAAAAAACCAATTATCAATTGTTAGAAAGAACATAAAGAAACAATTGTATACGAGTCTAGTTAACCTTCGGCCAAGAGCAAATCTATAAGATCGTTATAGTACTTTATTCCGTCTCTACTTATTCCAGCGGATAATCTTCCTCCTAAAATGCCAATAAAGGAAAACAAAATCAAACAAAACTTCATCAAATTTTGTTTTGACAAAATGATCCACAAAGTAATTCATATTTTTCATGCTTTCTATCTCTCTCACACATACACATATACCTGGCAGTACTCTAGTCCACGAAATTGAAAATCTATAAGAACTTAAGCCCACTTTCTTTAACAAAGCTACATCTTCCTGCAACATAATGAAAAATGAGTAGAAATTATTCCACTAAGACACTACTATTATATCTCAGTTGTCTACAAATGTTCCACAAATCTATGCTACAACAATGAAGGAAATGAATTACCTTCCACAAATTATATTGATCAATAGCCACACACCCATTACTTCCATTATCAATATAACCTGCCACTCAAATAAACACACTCAGCAATTCACATGTAACAAGCACAAATACATGTACAAACACAACTGTTGGGTATGCATAAATACCTGGTGTTCTCTGTGTGAAGATATCCCAGTTGCTAAAGCCTTTACCACCTGTGGCCCAAGCACCTTCAACCTTTAATACAGCAAATAAAAGAAACCAATCAATATTATATTTCAAGAAATTTAAAAAATATCAATATAAATTCTTTATGACATTTAAATGAATTTGTCTATGTGCATGAGCATGATAACATGTGGGATATTTTGTTTGCGAACATTACCTGATAAGCAGATGCTCCAGAACCAAAGATAAAATCTGAAGGGAAATCGGAGCGCTTGATCTTCATCTGGGTAAATTTGCTTGCATCAGCACCAAAGGGATAATCCTGTTCATCGGCGCCATCATTCATCCAGCTGCTTTGGCTATCCATGTATACTACAAAATGTAATTTGACGTATTGTAACTTGAATGCTTTGAGAGTTGTTTAGAGTATATGCAATAAGTAATTACATCACATATTTATAGGGGATTATGGGTGCATCACCCGACGCATTAATTTCTTGTTAATTAATTAAGGTCATGATGGAGTGAGATAGTCTCAGTTTTACTGGCAGCTGTAATATGAGGGTTCGATTCCTGAGATATGAAATCGGATTCTTTGTGGGCACCAGTGTACGGGCAAGCTTTTGTTTCCTAACCTGTTGGGGCACATCTCACGATTTATCTCTCTAACGATGCTTCAGAGGTAGGACGATGGGGACCCTCAAAATTGGAGTTCAACCATTTTTAGTTTTCTTATTGTAGGGTGCGAACTTAGGTCCATTTTTTATATTTTATTATTCTGCACTTCTTTCAAGGGGGCCTAAGAGATTTTCTCCAAATTTGTCTTGCCTAATGCGTATGATTAACATTTTAAATGGATTATATGGAAAAACGATTTGAATTAATGTTCTAAAAATTTAATTCACAATTTTATTTTACAAATATTTTTTTTAAAGAAAGTTGCTTATATCTTTGTGACTTTTAAATTCAAGAAAATAGCTTCAAGAAAGTTATTGGTGCGCCTGGCTCGTCACAAAAACATATTTTTTTATAACAAAATTGTTTTTTATTTAACAAAATAGTTAAAAAAAAATAACATTCTGTCTACCCTTTGTATTAAATTTATAAAATTATTTTCATATTTTAATTTTGAAAAACAAAAGTTGCTCGTGTTTTCATCTTTTTCTTTTTTCATTTTTCCATTTCTCTGTTATTGCTTATTTTAATTCAAACTTCTTCATCTTTTTTTCTTTTATCTTCATCTTCAAACCTTTTCTTTTTCTTTATTGCTTATTATAATTAAAATTAAGGGCATAGTGGTCCTTTATGATAAATTTGACCATGTAACGGTCAAAATAATAATTCAGTCGATAAGGACTTCGTACACATACGTTTAAAATATTAAGGTTCTGGGATGCAAGAGATAAAAAATTCAAGACTCTAATATCACAAAATTGAAAGGTTCAAGATCCCAAGTAAAATTTTCCTAAAATATAATATTATGACAACGTCATTCAAATTTTTTTTCTTTATTAGTGTCTTATAGATTAAACTTAAAAATTACAACATTGGGTACTAAAAAGGTGATAAATTTAATAATTGTCTCGTTAAATTATATAATTTAAGATATTGATTGTGTGAGGTGGTATTCCCTTTGCCTTTGAAAATGATATTAATTGAAAATTGGGAATAATTTAATTATGTGATTGAAAACAAAGACTCGTATCGACTCTAGCGAAGGAAGCAATTTTATAAAAGTAGTCAAGTAATTGCACACAATTTATGAAAATTAACGACATTAATTAGTTCAAATCTTACAAGTGTGATTAACAGTGATATTAAGAATAGGGCGAAAGAACTAATTATTAATTTGCTTATTAGGAATTCATAAAAGTTTGGGACGATTTTAATTTTGCGAGTTAAATTTAAACTTTAATAAGATATAAAGTAAGTTTACTTATTGATGATTTCGTCATAATAATAATTTTACATACCACAAAGGGGAGTGTTGTTTTGTATTGATTGGTGTGCTTTGTTCACAGTTAGTGCCATGTTATATTATGAGGGTAATTTGAATTTTTGTTACTTTTAACAGTAGCGTTACGAGACTTGGATAGGATATGAGTTCGACTAACAAAATTTAAGGCCGATATAACATTTTTGATCTAGCTATATCTATATAATCAAGGACCGAGCTGTGTGCATGCACAACATGACACACAGCTCAGTTCACAGCACCCTCACATTGAGAGGAGGTGAGCCAATAAAAAAAGGCATGGGACCCATAATGCAATGAGGGTACTATACAAACAACTTCATCCTATGATCAATTATTTATATCGGTAATGCTACCGGTACATCGGGGGGCACCGAAGCGTGTACCTAATGGACACGCAGCGACCCCCCATTGGAGGAAGCGCATGTGGGACAGGCGCTTCCTCCAACCGGGGGTCGCCGCGTGTCCATTAGGTACACGCTTCGGTACCCCCGGATGTACCACAAGTTTAATTCTATTTATATTTGTTAAAGAACTCCGAAATCAAAGCCCTAAAAATGGTCGGCTTCTCTCTAAAATTATTCTATTTAATTTTTTTACAACAAGTGTGATTAATGATTAACTCAATCAAAATTGAGCAGTAAAAAGTGTGATTAATGATTAAGGGCCCGTTTGGTAGTGATTTTAAAAATTAATTTTTTGACTATTAGGAAGAAAAGTGGAGGCCAAAATAACGGTTGAAATAATGAAATAACGGTCAAAAAATTAATTTTTGGGATGAAAAATTACTGTCAAATGAGGCCTAACTCATTAAATTGTATAATTTTTAGGCCTTGTTTGAGCCCCATTAATTTGAAGAAAAGTTTTATGGAATAGTAATTAATGGAGAATATATGGTTAAAAAAGAAGGAAATTTTTTTTATTTGCTTGTAATATTATTTTAATGAAAATTTGTGGTTAAAAATGAGTACGGTAAAGAAAATGATGGGAAATAATGTAAAATAAATGATGACAAACATGGCTTGATTGGGGAAGGTGGTTTGCCTTTGAAAATGATATCAATTAAAAATTGGAAATAAATAAAATTACACGATTGATTTGAGATAGGTATGTTAGATAATAAATTTAAAATAAGAGATCTTATACGATAATATTTTATAATTTATCATTACTGATTTGAGATAGATATGTTAGATAATATTTTTCCCATAGATGAAGTCCTTCCCAAATCTGGGATTATCTTTTTGTTTTTCCCACAATTTTCTCTTAAGATTCCTCCTCGAGAACACAAGGACTGTGTATTCACGTGCAAAGATTTTGTGTCCAGGGGCGGACCCAGCAGTTTTGGGTTGTGGGGTCAAAAGTTTAATATATCGTATCTTTTGTTATGATCGATCATTTCTTACACCATTAAAAAGTGAAAAATTAGGTCATGAATGCTTAAAAATGATATTAAAAATGCAATATTTCGTTTTTCATTTAGTATGTATTAAAGAAAACGAGTTAAAACAACCATTTTTTGAATGGAAAAAAAAAACCCAAAAATTTTGTGGGGGTCATCTGACCCCACATGACCCCATGTGGGTCCGCCTCTGTTTGTGTCATTTAACTTAATTTAAAATAGGAGAATCCCACATGCATAAATCACGTGCTGTATTAAAATAAAATAAAATAGTTATCATATTATTAGGAGATTCTTTTTGTCGAACTTAAATAACTCTTTGTATTGTAGTCTTTTGCATATACAATTACGAGATAATTATTTTAATAAATAAATTGAATTTATATTATTTGTACATGATGAAAACGTTAGTTTAGATTGATAATTGTAAAATTAGATAGGACGATATACCAAAAATTCACTTTTTTTTTCATGTATTGTTTATTTTTATCTAGCTTACTATATAAAACATACTATGTAAGTTTTTAAATAAGTAAAAAATAATTTTTCAGCAACTTTTTAGATCTAAATATTTGCATAACTTTTAATCAAACATACCTTTAAAATACAATGAAATTCTTTGTGATAGTATTTGTCTCTATGCCCTTGATTGCGAAAATTTAAAGAATAATGTTATTTGCAGTCGCTCATTGCGGCAGTCGCCCTATGTGGCATATACATGGCAGGTGATTATTTGATACATTAATGAATAAAAAAACTACCACATTAATACATCAAATAATCATCTGTCATGCGTATGTCACGTATGACAACTACCGCAGTGAGCGATTGCGAATAACATTACTCAAATTTAAAACGTCAAATGAAATGACTTATTCAGAAATCAAAAGAAAATGGAATAAATATATTTCCCATCTTTTCGTGTTGTGCGCACCGACAGTCACACATGGAGTAGCCAGTTAAGGTCACGCTAGTTCCAAGAATAATAATCTGCCCAAAATTTTATCCTGTTTTGTGTCTTCGATCCATTAATATCGGAGGCATTTGCAAAAATATTCAATTTTATTTATGTCAATTTAAAAATATCTACTTTTGATAATCTTTAAAAAATGATCAAATTTAATACCAAATTCTCTATTTTATCCTTAACGAAAGAATAAATAATTTCATATTGTACATGTCAAATCACAATTAATGCTAGACACAGAAATATCAATAACAATATTTAAAGTATAGAGAAATATCATGTTCTCTTTTATTTTTTTAAAAACTAAAATCCTAAATACGTTGCTATTTTAACCCAAAGTATTTTCTAGTGAGCTGCCGATAATGATGCATTTAGCGTTGATATGACTAATTTGTTTCTACAGCTTAAGAATAATTATTCACTTAATTTTTTTGAAAAAAATAAAAAAATAAATAAATAAATAAATAAATATATATATATATATATAT